GTGGTGCGGCGAGCGCAGCTCGGCCGGGCCGCGCGCGAACAGCATGTGCAGCACCAGGCTGTAGGGCAGCACCTCGCCCAGCGCCGGCGACTGCGCCACGTGCTCCGACGTCTGGCGGACAGGTGGCGTCAGGTGATGGGAGTGACGGGCGACGCGGTACACGCTGAAAACACGGCCGGTGATCCGGGGACGGGGATCCGGGGGCGGGTGGGGACCAGGACCGTCACACACACTCGGCGCCCGGTCAGCTGGCCAATTACGTTATCAGCACGAACGCCCTAAACAATACCATATCGAAATTCAGCATTCAGACCGATCATGTACTTACCAGGATGTTGGCGGTGGCAGAACAGCAGCGCGGTAGAGGCACACAGGGGGCGCTGAGACAACGGAGGCCGCATACACGGCGATGACAACACACACGGGACGCTACCGGGCCACAGCAGTCCGCGACTGGACCAGAAGGAACGGACCACCGGGCAGAGGCAACGGCATTACAGGCCACCGAGCTGCACGGCCACCCAGCGGTCGCGGGGCGGCAGCGGTCGTCACGTCCCACCTGGAACAGGAGCGGCCTGTAGGCGCGCAGGACGCGGTAGGCGGTGCCCAGGTCGGCCAGCCGCTCCACCAGCGGCGTCACGGCCAGCTCGGCCTGCGCGCAGTCGGCCGCCATCTTCAGGCGGCCGGCGGCGCCCATCGGTCGCACCAGCGCCGCGTGGCGCACGAACAGGTGCAGCGCGCGCCGGCCCAGCTCCAGCTTGCTGGAGCGGCACAGAGATCGGTCAGCGACACAGGGCCGGAGGGCACGCCCGGCTGGAGTGCTCGCGGCGGGCAGCGTCTGGGGCCGCACAGCTGCTGAGAGGTGGCGGCCTGCACAACGAGCCAGTCCGGGCGGCCAGCACAAATATCTGCCTTCGGACGTATGTTGGATCCGAGACAGAAGTCCGGTTACGTGTGCCCTGGCAAGGTGATGTCCAGGATCGCTATCCTGGGTTGAACTGGGACAGGTCAGCTGCCGAAGTCTAACCACGATTCTTCAGACGTAGTGGGCGCCATGCGACCAGAACACCACAACACTCGAAATTTGCACCTCTCCGTCTCCGTCATCATCTGCTCAGTACCGCTCACCTGTCCGAGAGCAACTGCTTGCAGTTGAAAGGGGACAAGTAGTCGTCGACAACTCGGGCGATAAACGCCTGCAGCTCCTTCATGTAGAGCGAGCAGCTGGCCTCTGACGTGCCGTCCTCCTCCCTGGCGGCGACGGTGGCACCGTCAACACGGCAGCACCACTGACCGACCTAAGCACGCAGCGAGCAGCCCGACACCACACAGCGCCGAGGGAACATAGTTAGAGGCGGCGGGGGGGGGGGGGGCCGCAAAGTTAGTCGATAAGTTTTTTTCCACGTAAGGCAATGGTGCCTTCCTTAAGATGTTTTGGGCTTTAGGGCGCGTCGACTACATTGGTCATATGGTCACATGGCTGATCCAACATACCAAGTCGTCGGCCACGTATTGCCACCAGCGTTCACCCCCAGCGGAGAGCCGGCACCGAAAGCGCGGGCGGTAGAACGCGGGCGAGATGCGGCGGTAGATGCGGGCACGGGCGGTAGAGTGCGGCGGTGAGTGCGGGCATGGGGCGGAGAGTGCGGCAGGGTGGGTAGAGTGGGCGGTAGATGCGGGCGGTAGAGGCGGGCGGTTAAAGCGGGAGGGGGCGGGGGCGGCGGTAGTGGGCGAGCGCGCGCGGTAGAGCGCGCGCGGTAGAGCGCGGGCGTTGTAGAGCTCACCCAGCACCGAGCGGAGAGCCGGCAGCGAGCGCGCGAGCGGTGCAGAGAGCTCACCCGGAGAAGTCCTCGTTGTGCATGGTCAGTATGATGGCCTCGATGGCCTCGCCGATCGACGACAGCAGCGGCTGGATGCCGGCCGCCATCAGCGCGGTGACGCTCTCCAGCGCCGCCTGCACGGTGGCGCGCGCCTCGGCCGCCAGGCCCGGCTGGTTGGCCAGCAGGCGGCTCAGCTGGCCGTGGAAGGCGTGCAGCAGGTTCACCAGGCTGGCGTTGGTCGTCTGTCCGGGCGACATCGGCCCTGCAGACCGGGGTACGCGTCAGCCGGCTCTGGGTCATGGTAAAGGCGATCAGGATGTCCGGGACACAGGAGGCCCGGCGGGACAGCAGGGCAGTCACCAGGAGGCCCGGTCTGCACATCCGGGACAGCGGAGCAGCCACACCGCTGGGAGGCCCACCCATCCGGGACAGCAGAGCAGCCACACCGCTGAAAGGCCCACCCATCCGGGGCAGCGGAGCAGCCACACCGCTGAGAGGCTCGCCCTTCAGGGACAGCAGAGCAGCCACACCGCTGAGAGGCCCACCCATCCGGGACAGCAGAGCAGCCACACCGCTGAAAGGCCCACCCATCCGGGGCAGCGGAGTAGCCACACCGCTGGGAGGACCGCCCATCCGGGACAGCGGAGCAGCCACACCGCTGGGAGGCCCACCCATCCGGGACAGCGGAGTAGCCACACCGCTGGGAGGACCGCCCATCCGGGACAGCGGAGCAGCCACACCGCCGCTGACAGGCCCGCCCATGCCCTCGCTGACTCAGGCGAGTCGGTCGGCGTCGTGTGCTGACCCAAACGACACTACACCACCCCCGGGTACGCGGGCATCTAACGCCAGAGGGCGGCAGCCGGCCGGGCGGGGCACGCCGCGCGGACAGCGAGCGTTGGAGGCTGTCGCCGGGACGCGGGCGCGCCGCCGGCCGCCGGCAGGGGCCAGGCACGCACCGATCACCTGGCTGGCGTCGCCGTCCGTCACCAGCAGCTGCTCGCACTTGACGCAGAACAGGTGCACCGTCTTGGCCACGTTACGGGCGACCAGCTGGCATAGCGACGGGTCCACGCCTGACACGTTGAGCTCACTGGCGGCGGGGTCAACGACCCGTCAGGCCAGGCGGCGGGGTCGCCCATGGGTCAGGCCCGGGGTCGCCCACGGGTCAGACCAGGCGGCGGGGTCACCGACCGGTCAGGCCAGGAGGGGTGTCATCGACCGGCCAGGCCCGGCGGGGGGATCACCAACCGGTCAGGCCAGGTGGCGGGGTCACCGACCGGTCAGGCCAGGCGGCGGGGTCACCGACCGAGCAGGCCCGGCGGCGGGGTCACCGACCGGGCAGGCCCGGCGGCAGGGTCACCGACAGGTCAGGCCAGGAGGGGTGTCATCGACCGGGCAGGCCCGGCGGCGGGGTCACCCACAGGTCAGGCCCGGCGGCGGGAGAAGTACGGCGTTAACGCCACGCTGACACAGTCGCAGGCGCACTCACCGGCTGGTGGAACGCGCATAGACATGGCTGGCAATCCCCGACCCAGATGCAGTGTCAGATGCCAGTTGTAATGCAAATAAAGATGTCTTGAAATACATTGGAGTCATTTCATCAGGTGCAAATGAACAGAATCTTGGGGATAAATATAGGACATGCTACAAGTGCGGAGAAAGGACAGGGTGCTGTGGATAAAAGAATGGTGTTGAAAGGCGGTAGGGGCCCAAAATACAAACATGTGCCGATGCCCGTTAAATACCGAAGAGCGAGAACATCAAGGCCAACGTTTCCAGGCGCCAGTGCCATTTGTTGAAATGCTACGAATATTCGATGTCAGCACACAGCGACGCCACACAACAGCGCACACACAAGACGCATCAGCTCGATCTAGGTCAACACCATCAATAAAATGGAATCCACAAGACCCGCAAGGTCAACGAAATTCGAATTAGTACACGACCTCACAGTGCCCGATATAAAACTTCCGCCGAGCGCGGTGACGCGGGCTTAACAGATACTCTGGTCACCGTGCGCCAGATCGTGCTTGAAATTTAATGAGTGTAAGTTCATGTCGACCGACCTTTCTAGCCCTTGAGCCTGTCACACAGCACGACACCAGCAGCCCTGAGCGTTCGCGGTCAGCGGTCGTGCCCGGCGCGTGACAGCGCCAGCCAGCCGCGTCGCGGTGGGGAGAGGGGAGGGGCTCACTTGGCGATGGTGCGCACCACGGCGTCCACCTCCTCGCGCGCCGGCACCGTCTCGGCCGAGAACATCAGGTTCACCGGGTCGAAGAGGCGGCTGACCGAGCGTGAGAGGTACGCCCGCTCGAACGGCGCCAGGGCCTCGCGCAGGCTCGCCTCCGGACTGCCGGTCACGGCCCCGGCCGCAGGGTCAGCCCACAGGGTCAGCTCACAGGGTCAGCTCACAGGCGCAGCTCACAGGCACAGCCCACAAGGTCAGCCCACAGGGTCAGATCACAGGGTTAGCCCACAGGCGTAGCTCATAGGCGCAGCCCACAGGGTCAGCCCACAGGGTCAGCCCACAGTGTCAGCTCGCAGGGTCAGCCCACAGGCGCAGCTCATCGGCGCAGCCCATAGGATCAGCCCACAGGGTCAGCCCATGGGGTCACCTCACAGGGTCAGCCCACAGGGCCACCTCACAGGGTTAGCCCACAGGCGAAGCTCATAGGCGCAACCCACAGGGTCAGCCCACATGGTCGGCACACAGACGCAGCTCACAGGGCCAGTCCACAGGGCCACCTCACAGGGTTACCTCACAGGGTTAGCCCACAGGGTCAGCTCACAGGCGCAGCTCACGCCGGCGGGTCACCGACCACGTCGGCTGCAGAGCCCAGCCGCAGCCGTCAGCTGGCCACGCCGCCGGCAGGAGTTTAGCGAAAGGCCGGAGAGCAGCGTAGTTGGGCAACAAACCAGAGCCGTTAAACATACCCTCCAAGAAGATATTTTCAATGAGTTTGTCGCTAGACCGTGCGGAATTTTTCTAAATTAAGAAATTATCTGTTCTATCTCAACAAATTCCAGACGCAAGAAATATTGTCATTTAAGCGCTCTGCTTTCGGCCGTCGCAACTTAACGAATCAGAACGCAGCAATACCGGACGTAGCAGTACTGCAGACCCGCACCCCATACTGCATACGCTAACTTTAAAACATGACATCTATTACAGCGTACAGAGAGAACTAATTACAAAAAGAACGACACAAAATGGATCGAGATGGTTAACACAACTTTCTACGCACCGAAGAAAATTTGTGTAGCATTTTTTTCTTCAAATACGATAATGCGTGTCAGGCGTAGGGCGTGTCAGGCGTAGCCAGACTTCTAGCTTGGAAGCTAAAGCTGAATCTGAAGCTAATGTCATGAACAGAAACCCAGACTGAAGCCGATGCCATTGATGTTCGAAACCTGCCAAGCTAAAGCCGAGCTCATCAGTAAAAAAAAACTAGGACGAAGCCAAAGCAAAATCTGCACTTCACTCTATTTTGTTTCAAAACCAAAACCACTTCCCGTCTGCCATACCTGTATGGGATTCGAAAATACTGCCACGGTTTTGCGTAGCGACACGTGGTGTAAGCACTAAAGATGGACAATTTTAGCACTATTGTCCTCATCGCGTGTTGGTACGTGCACGAAAATGAGGACAGTTAGTGCTCCGGCTGTCGGCAGGTAATATTAGTTTAAGTGAACGTCGGACTTTTGGGTTTCAGCCAAGTCTGGGTCGTAGCCCCCAAATATTGTATGATTAATTGGGATGGGGAAAGGATATTTTGTGAAGTATAGTCGCAACTGCAGTAAAAACCGAGACAAAGCTACAGAGCCCAAAGCAGGAGTTCAACATCCCATGAGCTGCTAAAGGGATACAAAGCCCAAGCCGAGCCAACCGATTAAAAGGCAACGCGACCAAAGCCGGCCGTCGGAAATGGCTAAAAGCCAAAGCCGAACCCAAAGCGACTGGAAGTAAAATGCGGATTCGCAAAACCGAGAGGGCTAGCATCACACTAGCATCGCTAGTAGTCGATAAAAATTCCTGATCTTCTAGACGGTCACTACGACATACATTATGTAACTTGTTAGCATTAATCATATGGCTATCAATTGACCCATGCTGCGACACCGTGTGACCAGGCACCCTGAGGTCAGCCCACTTCACGTCTACAAACAGCCTATCCAGCCGTTTATGGTGGTGGGCTCTGCGAATCGGCCGTGGCGCGGCCGGGGGCGGGCTCACTTGAACTGGGGCTGGCCGTCAGTGGCCGGCGGCGTGGCGAACTGCTGCAGCCGCGTCCAAAGGTCGTAGTTCAGACGCACCAGCTTCGGGTACTCGCCCTCGAACGCCTGCTTGATGAACGTCTGCTCTGAGGACGCGAGCAGCACATGACGTCACACCGCCGGTCGACGTCACACCGCTCTGCGCGTCGCGGCGATGCGGTGTCACACCACCGGTCTCTGTTCTGCGCGTCGCGGCGATGCGGTGTCACACCACCGGTCTCTGCTCTGCGGGTCGCGGCGATGCGGTGCCACACCGCCGGTCTCTGCTCTGCGGATCGCGGCGATGCGGCGCCACACCGCCGGTCTCTGCTCTGCGGTTCGCGACGATGCGGTGTCACACCACCGGCCTCTGCTCTGCGGGTCGCGGCTATGCGGTGTCACAACACCGGTCTCTGCTCTGCGGGTCGCGGCGATGTGGTGTCACACCGCCGGTCTCTGCTCTGCGGGACGAGGCGATGCGGCGTCACACCACCGGTCTCTGCTCATAGGTACAACGCTTATGCGTCGAAATGTTAACAGGTTGTAGGTAGATGCCGCATAGTGGTGTTGTACGTCACAGAGTACCGTTTGCGAAGGCTTGAACGCGCCGCGCTATCTTCATTTCACCCTGCACTCCCATCGGAAATGTCCAGTTGCAGCGTACAACACACCGACCCATGACGAAACGACACTTGCAGTTGGTCTGAATTCTTTAGAGGCCTTCATATCAAGTGAACATCGGCGGCACATTGCATGTGGAAACACACACGCTCGTATGTTTACAGCCAGACCGACCCACGCCTTTCCGAAATCCCTGATCCGCCCCTGCCCGCAGACGCATCCTATCCCTGACCGCCTAAGGCGCGCCCCAGAACTCTATCGCGCCCCTCTGGCCGGCGTAGGCCCCCATCTGTACCGGGCAGATCCCCCGTCGTCCCTGCTGCTCGGGTTATTTCCTCACCACAGGCAGATGAGTAATAAACCCCGCTGACACACTTACGGTAAGGAAGAAAAGAAAACATGACTGGAATATCTAGACTCCTGTGGCTTTCCACAGGTTATTTAAATCTTCAGTGGTAAGTTCTTAAGTCAAACATCAAGGACCACGAGCGGACTTTCGACCTAGAACGTGCCTACGTCAATTTAGCGCTAAATACGAAAAACTGACTGAAAAAACTGACGACTTGAGCTTTCTTACCCGCCGGCCTCCAAAACGTCCTTTTTTGCCCCCCCAAACCGCTTCGTTGCCAAACGTGCCTGATTGATGGCCTCGCCTAACAAGCTGCTGCCTGACCCGACGCTCACAACGCGGACACCGCTACGCCTCTCAGCCACACGGCTCTTGAATGCCTTTTTTGGACTGTGTGTCTAACTAAATTGGGGGCCAACTAATGGGGGTTCTTTCCTCTCTTACGTTTAAGCATTGGTAGAAACTCTTAGTGGCCGTCCATAACTAAGGTTATGTATATTATCCGGTGAACTACGAAACCCGCATCTTCCCCATAGTTATGTGGGTTCCCACGCTTGTTTCATATTTTTAGCATCATTGATTATGCTTCTACCATCCTCTTGGCCATTAATGCATAATGGCCGACCCTTTACAAGAGTCTGCAGTTATCATTCATAGTACGTTCAGACGCCAACTGTCCAATCCGTTCCTACAAAATGAATTCGGTTAATTGCCGTCCGCCAAATTCACATTTCGACAAGGCATTTGATTAATAAACCATTTGGTAATTATGCATTCATCTACAAGCCATCCATATGGACCCAATTTTACAATGGTGACATTCGGGTCATCGACAATGCCGCTATTTAGTTAGGGCTAATCAACACGTCCACTTCTTGCCTTTGGGTAATTTGTACGCTGTCAACATGTTTTTGGCCTGTCAGCTCTCAGCCGTTTGCTTTCCAGCAGGGCGACAAAAAAGCATGGCGGCAAAAAGCATGGGTTTTCACATGCCGCAAAACAGCATCCGGTTAAGCGTGATTCGGCCCCTTGTCCTGGAGCTGGCATCGTTCCAGAGGCGCCTGGGTAGGGGATCACGGCGGTAACGCTTCACGTGCTGGAGGGCTGGTCCTTGGCACCATGCGGTATGAGATAAAACTCAAAGCCACTGCAGAGTTATGTTCGACGAGTGATGGCCCAGCCCTGATCATCAAATCATGAGAACTGCTAGTGAAAACACTATTGCCTGATTGAGTGAACCACTAACTACACACTAATATCGACAGCATTGGTGCGTTTCCTGGGCCAAGCGGCGTAACCTGGACATTAAATGCCTGACTCGCTGGCAGCCACCAATGCCCCAACAGACCAAATTACACGTACCTTCGGCGGCGCGGATAAACTCCTCCCTGATCACGGCTGTGACGTCCTCCCAGAAAATGGGCATCAGGTGACCTGACCTGACCTCGTCAATGAAGCACACCTGCGTCACCGGATCGCGCTTCTTGCTCAGCACCTGCGGCAGGACCGAGCACCGTCAGGGCGCGGAGGCTGCCCCGCTGCCGCGACCGAGAGGCGCCGCGCGACGGGGTCCCGGGCTGGAGGAGCCAACGCCCCGCCGTAACGCGAGAGGCGCCGCGCGACGGGGTCCCGGGCTGGAGGAGCCAACGCCCCGCCGCAACGACCGAGAGGCGCCGCGCGACGGGGTTCCGGGCTGGAGGAGCCAACGCCCCGCCGTAACGACGGAGAGGCGCCGCGCGACGGGGTCCCGGGCTGGAGGAGCCAACGCCCGGCCACGCGAGCACGGGTTCGCCCGCCGAGCGGACAAGCGTCCGGTCTGTTGTGCAAGGTGCGTCACTACCTCTCCCTCAGCGAGGCGAACCTCGAGCGAGCGGTGGACGGGTCGCGTGACTTTACTGGATCCGGCGCAGCCCAGAAGATACGTGATCTCGAGTCGCATCTGATGCATGTCACAAGACCCTGTATTCCACGTGCGCCCTGAACTACCGTGGGCACGTGCTGGGCGGCCGTGTACCCTCCACACCTTGTGTATGTGCTGTATCTGCGCGCAGGCGCCGTAGATGTGGTCGGCCAGCCGCTCAAGATTGTTCCACAGCGCCGCTCGGAATGTGACCGTGCTGCTGGGCAGGGCGGCGGCGCCCGGCCGGCCCTGGCCAGGGGTCTGCGCGCTGGAGGCCGACACGAGCGCCTCCAGCTGGAGCGCCTCCGTCAGTCGCGTCTTCAGCTGCGCGCGCGTCGACGCCAGCAGACCATCTACCGTCGGTTGCAGCGTGCCTAGGCTGTGGCACACCTGCAGCGCTGTCGCCACCTGTTGGGGAGGAGGGGAACTGTCAGGGGCGGCGGCGTTCCCCAGGTGGCGGCAGACGACAGCAAGCGTAAGTTCAAACGTCTGGGTGCCACTGAGACCGGTATCTGTCATGCCATCACACACGTGCCTTGGCGTCTGGTCAATCCAGCATCTATGCGTCTGGGGCAAGACAGATCGGGCGGGCAGGCAGGCCGGGATGTGAGGGTTCAGATTCAAAGGCAACGCATTCGCGGCAAAGAAAGCGTGGTGGAGGCGAGGGTGGCAGAGGAGACGGAGGCCTGCTAGCGTGAATGCATATCTACCTCGCTGATACCCATGTGAGATTTAGCCCCACCAGCGACCACAGACTGCTTATCTGGATGTCACACCACTCATCTGATGTATCAGACCGCTCACTCCTAGACCACTGACACACCCATCCCCTAAGTCTGAATGCTTATCTGGCACGTCAGACCTCTCATCACGAAAGACAAATCACTCACATCCCATAGTAAACAAGCTACCAGGGCCCCTTGACCCCTCACAAGGAACAGTGGGCCACTCACCAGGCACAGGTGGCTACTCAACACCACCAGTGGGCCACTCACCAGGCACAGGTGGCTACTCAACACCACCAGTGGGCCACTCACCAGGGACAGTGGGCCCCTCGCCATTGGCAGCAGGACACTCACCAGGGACGGCTGACCCCTCACCAGGGACAGTTGACCTCTCACCAGGGACAGTGGGCCACTCATCAGGGACAATTGGCTACTCAACACCACCAGTTAGTCACTCATCACCAACAAGGGCCCCTTACCAGGAACAGTGGACCCCTCACTACCGACAGTGGGCTTCTCACTAGGGACAGTGGGTCCCTCACCACTGGCAGCAGGAAACTCACCAGGGACAGTGCCCCCTTCCCCCCCCCCCTACAACGACAATGGGCCACTCACCAGGGTTAATGGACCCCTCACCACCAGCAGTAGGCACCTCACCAGGAGTGACAGTGGCCCACTCACCAGGGATGGTGGGCCCCTTACCAGGGACAGCAGACTGCTCACCTGGGACTGGTTGAGAGCCTCCATGCCGCGCTGCAGCAGTCCGGCCGCCTGTTTCTCCACCAGCTGGCGACCGGCGCGGATCTGTCGCTGCTCGCGCTCAAACACCTCCAGCCCGCTCAGGTCCACGTCCGACACGGTCTCGTCTGGCAACACGTGGGTACGCAGTATGGCAGTGAAGACACGCAGGTGGTCGGCACAGAGCATGACAGTCTTGGCAAACCGCCATTTGAACAGCAACTCTCGTTATACCCCACAAACAATCACCCAGCCTACTCCACAGCGTCCGTGACTGGATCCATCCATAGCACCCCTGACTGGATCCATTCACAGCGCCCCTGACTCGATCCTTCCATAGCGCCCCCGACTCGATCCCTTCACAAAGAATCTGCCTCGATCCCTCCACAGCACCCCTGATTCGATCCACCGACAGTGCCCCTGAATCGAACGCCCCATCCAACTCCCTCCTGTGTAATGTTAGTTACCCAGCTCCCTTCAAAGCACACATTCGTCTGTCCTGCTTCCCCCGCCAGCCAACACCTGCTGTTCTCAGTCCCTCCACAGAATCCTCCCTGGCCCAGCTTCTGCCACAGCACCCCTCGTACGGCTCCCGCCATAAGCCACCCAGATTCACCCCAGACCACGCTCCCTCCAGAGCGCTCACTAACCCAGCTCGCTTAGGCTCTTGGCGGCCTTGGTGATGTCGCGCACGCCGCCCTTGAGCTGCGCCTGCAGCCGCTTGGAGAGGTACTGCAGCCGGATGAGGCGGCGCAGCATGTCACAAGCGGCGTGCAGCCGCGACAGCATCAGGCTCTGCGACTCGATCTTGAGGAAGGGCTCCTCGACCCGGGAGCGGAGCCGCTCCACAGCGGCTAGCAGAGCCTGCGGTGGCCGGCGGCGCCGTCAACCGACCGACAGCGGCACAGCGCAGTACGAGGCACGGCACGGCACGGTACGGGCCATGGTACAGCACAGTACAGGCCGTGGTAAGGCACAGTACAGGCCATGGCACGACGCAGTACGGGCCATGGCACGGCACAGCGCAGGCAACGGCACGGTACAGGTCACGGCCCGGCACAGTGCGGGCCACTGCCCGGCACAGCACAGGCCACGGCCCGGCACGAGTACGGGTCACGCCACAGCACGGTACAGGCCACGGCACGACACAGTACGGGCCATGGCACGGCACAGCGCAGACAACGGCACGGTACGGGTCACGGCCCGGCACAGTACGGGCCATGGCACGGCACAGCACAGACAACGGCACGGTACAGGCCACGGCACGACACAGTACGGGCCATGGCACGGCACAGCGCAGACAACGGCACGGTACAGGTCACGGCCCGGCACAGTACGGGCCATGGCACGGCACAGTGCAGGCAACGGCCCGGCATAGTGCGGGCCATGGCACGGCACTGGCGGCCGCCGACATCAGGAGGCAATAGCGGGCAAGTAACCATTCAGTCACTGCTGCACGACATATTGCACCTCTGCCATGGTCGATCACCTCCACGACAAACCCCATTTACACAAGGTCGCTAAAAACAGAGCGGTACATCCATGGCCTCAACATCTACCCATAGCAGCTGAGAAAGTCAAAATAGTGACCATGCCAGAGAGCTGCACAGCCCAGCCCCCGGCCCCTCCCCCCCCCCCCCCCCCCCCCCCCCGGTCGCCACGGCAGTCCCGGCCATGGAGCGCACCTGTATGCGGGTCAGCATCGACTGCAGCACGTCATCCAGCGTCTCGGTGCCAGTGGCCTGTGAGAGCAGGTCCTCGTAGTGGGCGCTGACCTGGTCGGCGATCTCGCCGTCCAGCAGCGCGATCCCTGCCCGGGTCAGAGCGCGTCACCCTCGCCACCGAACCAGCCTCTTGGGGGAGGGGGAGGGGAAATTCCTGCCACCCAGCCACAGCACACGGGATAAAAACACATCCAGATAAGTTGTGGGCAGTTCCACATGAGATTTTCAGCTTCATAACATAATATATGAGGCATCTTTTCAGTTTTGGCTGTTTCACATGAGTGCTCTGGCAGTGGTGACTTCAAAATTGAATTTGTTCACAAAGGCCACCTTTGCAAATGCATCCAATAACCTGGTAACTCTGGAAACAGAAGTGTGAGGCTGCCTGTCATGGACATGTTAAGCCCAAATAAAACACAAACCTTTAATGATGTGTCCCAGCTGCTCAGACAAAGCAGCTGACTGCAGAAGGGTGCTTGCCTCCTTGTTAACATCAAACTCTGCCCCCAAAAACTTGCTGTAGACCCCTGTAATCAACAGCATCACTGATATGTTAAACAATGCTGACCATAGTCAATGAATTGCTGTGCTTTCTGTGCCTGATCCTGATCACCTGATATTACAGAAAAAGCACAGCAATGTTACCATGCTATCATTGGGAGGCACACTGCGGGCACACAACACCATGTGCTGGCATATGTGCCAGTGCCTAAGTTTGACTGGCAGCAAACCTTGAATAATTATTTGAAGCATAATAAAATTTTCTGGACAGCATTTACCATTGCCATGATGGGAAATTTAATTGGATAATTACCAGTGCTGAGGGAAAATCCCTGGAAATCTTTGGAGCAATGGTAAAATTTCAGCAATGCCTGCAACAATATTACCATTGCTAAGATGGTAACATTTTTGCTATGCCTGCCTAATGACTGCTGGCAATCATCATGCATATGAAACTGGGGAATAATTTTCAGACCTGCCAAAACTAAATCCAAAATTGCAGTGGGCTACTATCAGGCAGAACATTATTGGTTGAATATTTTATTCTGGCCAAATATGCCCATAATACATAAGGACAAGGGTGGAATCAAGGGGGGAGACAAACAGCCCATGCCACCAAAATGAATGAAGTTGGAAAACTAATACAAGACAAGTGACCTGAGCATGTAAAAGATACATACATAAGGGATGCCAGCCTTTTATATTTGACCCCCCCTCCGAGTCAGGACTATCTCCCCGAAGCTGCACCTCAGATCCACCTTCCGAACAAGCAAAACACATTTCTTAGTTACGGCAAATTATTTTCAGCAATCAAGCATTGATTCCATCTCTCAGGTACCTATAATCCCCATAACTTATAATGCCATGGACAAAAAGCTCAACCAGGCACCAACAGCTTCTTGGCAGCCACATTCAAACAGAGCAGAAGATGACTAGGTTAAGCAATGACTTTATAACTAGCCCAATAATTCCAGGATGATCTATGCCAGGATTCGCCTGCATGAGCCCATCCAGTTTAACAGCAACCATTTTACTCTCACCATCTTCTCCAAGATTTCTAAGGATTGTTGGTTCTTCATCCATATTGTGCACCTGCAAGAAAAAGCATCACAAAGTGAGGGATAACTATTGACTGCTTACATCTGAAACGGTACAAAATGGACTTGTGCAAGTGGTCAGTGTATCCATTGACGTTAACAGACACAGACACATTTGATGGCATTCTCCAAGTCGACGTCCCCCACTTTTAGTCAGTACCAGTACCTTCCATCCACACGACCCCCCACTCTGGAAAGCACCAGCGACGTGTACGTGGAGAATGCCGGTCTGCTCAAGGCCCAATAATAACAGTGTGCTCAGGGATAGGGTCTAAAAGACAGGCATATGACGCAGACACGCAAGTTCTGCGAAACGGCTGGTCCGATCGCCTTAAAACCTTCACCACTCAATTTTGTGCAATGAAGCAAGTCATATGGAGGTAATATCAAGACTTAACCTGAAGTTAAACATCGCAAATGACGGGAAGGAGAAATTTAACATGCAAATGCTGGCAACTGATATCTCAGCGCCTACTGCACCGACCGCCTTGAAACTTTCACCATTGGATGCCTCCATGCTTGATTCCCTCTTGCAGTTCCCACTTTGGTGAGCTCAGATCAGGTCAAAAGTCGTCAAATTTCGCGAGGTCCAAAATTCTTGCTTGCAGACAACTTATGGCTCAGAACATAGGCGTGGGAGCGTTTCGAAAAGTGTGGGGGGGGGGGGCCAAGCTCAGGGCGTGATTCAGGAACTTTTCCTGGAAAGCAAGCCCGATAACCGGGGGGGGGGGGGGGTAGGGGGTAGGAGATGGAGGCTGCTATCGTTCCTCATTCAAATGTCATGGCTGTTTTGCTAGAAATGCACCTAGAGCTGTTTCTCACCGGTGCACAATCTTGCCTGTTCGACTCGTCTTTGTCATTCGGCAAATAAGGCCGCCCAGCTTCAAAGAATTATTCGTCCATTTCAACATTGTCTTTCCTGCCTAGGCGAAATTTCACGCGCGGGTAGGCATTTTCGGTCGTTGAGGAGGCAACCGCCTCCACAGAGTAAATGCCAAATACGGCCTGGACATTGCCCAGCCGGCATGTCCAACTGGGACCCATATAGGTCCCAGCTGGACAGTCATATGGGGCCCACTTGGGCTGCACGCTTCGGTCCCATGTGGGCACGTCATGGGCAAACACCTGGAACCCATATGGGTGACCCTTGTTGGGCCCACGTGGGGCCTAACTGGGGCACACATGGGGCCCATCCAATGTTTAAAACCGGAACCCATGTGGGTCCGAGATGGGCAACTGAATAGGGCCCACGTGGGTATGCTACCTCGGGCCCATACGGGTAGTTCATGGGCGACCAACTGGGACCCACATGGAAGCCCATGTGGGCCCCTTGTGGGGCTTAGCTGGGACACCCATGGGACCCACCTGGGCAGCCCAGTTGGGACCCACCTGGGCATCCCAGTCGGGACCCGCCTGGGTGACACAGTTGGGACCCATACGGGCCAGTCCCAGCTGCGACCCATGTGACCAGCCCAGATGGGACCCATGTGACCAGCCCAGATGGGATCCATATGCTAGTCAAGATGGAATCTTTTTAGCCATCCCAGGTGGGCCACAGCTGAACTTCACCGGTCTACCATTTCATATCTGATCTGATTTATCGATCCCCGTAATTCCAGCCAGACCGTTTCATGTCATCGATAATAAGTCAGGTCAAAGTTTATTCACTATGTATTTGACCGAAAATGCCTCGACAACAGCACCCTTTGCACAGAACATGCACTTCCCTGTTATCATGCCCGATGCGACAATCAGTAAACCATTCAACATATTTTAGGTGTTGCCGTTGCCACCGTTGTCAGCGCGATGTTTCCTGCCGTCGTCACAGTCTCTCCCGCCGAAACCATTTTCTTGGTACCTATTCCCGTTTGTTGCGGGAGACACCGTAGCGCAGTGTCCTGTACAGAATAGCCCCTGAAAAGAGCTGGATTCAATACCTCAGATCAGTGCCCAACGACCTGAGCGTGGGTGATTATTCATGTACATCGATTTTGATACTGAAATAACTGATCTTTTGTTAGGGTGTTTATTGAGGTTGAAATAATGAGAGCATCTATGTGGAATAGCAGTCCAGGAATGCGCAACACATGCACTGCCTCGGAGCACATGTATGGAAAAGTTTAACGAGAGGGCACTTACATGGAGTACCTGCATAAAGGCCGACTTGAGTTATGTCTTCTTGCGGTCACTCGACGCCAGCCGTAGTAGTCTCGCGAGGCCGCGCAGCGTCGGCCCAACAGCCATTACTAAGCCGTGGCCAACGGGTGTTCGAAAATAAGGACGCTTCTGAAAGAAGTACCTCCGAACGCTTCAGGACATCAAATCTTACGTTTAGAAGACAGTCTGGACGCATATTTCACTTGCGCGATTTTCAGACTGATGATAAGAACGGATTGGCCCCTAAAGCACCACAAAGTGATGCTAGAATCTGGCCGGGGAATTGGAAGAGTAAATGTAGAATCTCTATTTTTCGTGTTTCTCTGACTATTAATCTGTCCAGAAGACAGATTACCAAGGTGCCCGCCGTCTGGTGACAGTTGCAGTGGCCGATGCCGTTCGGATTTACCGAGCTGCAACCCAGGCCATCACTGTCCTTGCACTCGAGGATGCAGGCGGGCATGTCCAGACGTGCCGATATAAGTTGTTTTACTAATCCATCCTGAAAAAATGAGCGTTCCAGGCAAACATGGGATGGCTTTGTTCGTTTTCTTCTAATTCCTTTCAACCCACTCTATTCAACAGTAATGAGGCCACCACTCTACTCAACAATATTGAGACCCCTTATTTTCTTCCAGGCAAGGACTCCTTGAGTTGAACACCCGGGGCACATTAACGTTTCAGGTCAAGTGCTGAAGGGCCATTCCGTCCCATCGCAAAGTGCCTTCTGGCTGTCATTCTGGTGACGCGGGGTAGGATCTCCTGATCGATCCGGAGGCCATTAGAAGGATATATCATAACGTATTTTTCCCTCCCTGACACCGGAGGCCTTCTGACCCACGCAGTTGGCCCTGGATCAGCACAGAAACCTTCACTGACTCAACAATATCCCTGATCGCCGCAGGTTGTCCAATGATTGTCTTATAGACTCCGGTTTCTTTTTTGTGTTCTTCAGAGATACTGAGGACTTCCTGAACGTAGATTGTAAATGAAATGGGGGTCCCAAATTTTTATGAGCATAGCTAATCCATGTTCGTCTTAAAATGTTCAAGCTTCAGTCAGAATTGAGCACTGATAAAAGCTATGTGACATGGTCTGAACATACGCACTCGCAAGTCATAACAACAACAGCCTCAATACCCGGCGTTGCAGTATCCATAGGCCGCCCGGCGTCGGCCTTGTCGCTGTAGCACTAAGTGGTGGCCAATGAGCAACCGAAAAAGATGACGCATCTTGAGGAAGGTGGCTGATAAACTAGGCAAATCGGCATATATGTTTACTGTAGTGCAAAAGTAAGCCAAACACAGCCTTAATCTGAAAAGTGTGTGTGTGGGGGGGGGGATAGTTAACACTGCTAGCCTCCCACCTTGAAAAGTGGGGGGGGGGGGCATGGCCGCCTTGGCCCCCCCCCCCCCCCCCTGTTCCTACGCCCATGGTCCAGAACCTACCGAACCGATTACTGCCTAAACCTTCACCATCAGATGTCCCATGCCTGATTCCCTCTTGCAGTTCTAAATTTGGTGACGAGCCTATGGCACTGATCGACACCAAACCTTCACCATTCGATGCCGATTGGTTGATAACCTATCCGTCAAATAGGGCAGTGACCTTGAGTCAAGTAAATGGTTATATGGTTATCCTCAACCAACATGATCCATGACCGACCTTATGACAACCCTATGCTCCGCGTCTACCGCACCGATCAGCATGAAACCTTCACCAATTGATGTGCCATAGTCGATATTCATCCCTTTTCAGAACATGATAGCCTTGAGCTTTTTCAAAGATCACCAAAAACGCCCAAAATTACCCAAACTGGCTGTGTACAAACCCTTGCTCCGAGCCCACTAGATCTGACCGCTCCGCATGAAACCTTCACCATTCGATGTGCCATAGTGATACCATATCCCTTCCGGAACATGGTAGCCTTGATTCAGTCAAAGGTCGCAAAAACGCCCAAAATCAGAAAAATTTGGTTTGGGTGTTTTTATGACGTTTGACTTAAACCAAGGTTACCCATGTTCTGAAAAGAAGAGGATATCGATCATGGCGCATCGCTTAGTGAATGTTTCATGCTTATCCTTGGGTTATCGACCAAGTACCATCGAATGATGAAGGTTTCATGCTGATTAGTTCCATAGGCTCGGAGCATGGGGTTATCTGCAGCCAATTTTGGTGATTATGGGCATTTTTGGTGACCTGTGACCTGGCTCAAAGTCACTAAGGTTAGAAAGGGTGGGATATCGGCCATGGCACATCGATGGATGAAGGTTTCATGCTGGTCGGTCCAATAGGCTTTGAGCATGAGGTTGTCTGCAGCCAATTTTGGTGGGCTTGTGCGTTTTTGGTAACCTTTGACCTGACCCAACGTTACCATGTTCTGAAAAGGTTACGATATCGACTCCGGCACATCAGTACTGATTATACAAGCCGTCTAAATGTGTATAGTGTTTAAAGTGTTTAGATTCTCACGTCCGTCAGATTCTGAAAGATCTGTAGAGTGCGTGCGGCATTCTTTGTGAACATATGTGCTAAACCTGAAACCTGTATGAGAGCGTGATCTATGATATGTTAATGCGTTTATCTTTTCGCCTTTTTTTTGCCGCACCACGCAAAATCATTCTTGTTTGGGCCGTTTATTAATGCATTTATACTCCATGTGCTGTTACAAATGCTTTGGATTGCGTCTCATTGCCCACCGTAAGTCGGTAGCCGTGCTTCTTGAGCTATCGTTTCTGAGCTGGCTGTCAGCGGTGCGTTCCGGAGCTGTCGTTCCTGAGATGTTGGCAGTGCGTTCCTGGGCTGTCGTTCCTGAGCTAACAGCGGCGCGTTCCTGGGCTGGCCGCCGGCGGTGCGCTCCTGAGCTGACTGTCGGCGGTGCGTTCCTGAGCTGTCGTTCTGAGCGGCTGTAGGGCGGTGCGTTACTGAGCCATCGTTCCTGAGCTGCTGTAGGCGGTGCGTTCCTGGAGCCATCGTTCCTGTGAGCTGGCTGTAGGCGGTACGTTCCTGAGCCATCGCTCCTGAGCGGGCTGTAGGCGGTTGCGTTCCTTCCTGAGCTGTCCGTTCCTGAGCTGGCTGTAGGTGGTGCGTATCCTGAGCTGTCGTACCTGAGCTGGCTGTCGGAGGTGCGCTCCTGAGGCTGACTGTCGGCGGTGCGTTCTTGAGCTGTCGTTGCTGAGCTGGCTGTAGACGGTGCGTTGCTGAGCTGTCGTTCCTGAGCTGGCTGTAGGCGGTGCGTTGCTGAGCTGTCGTTCCTGAGCTGGCTGTAGGCAGTGCGTGTGCTGAGGCTGTCGTTTCCTGAAGCTGGCTGTCGGAGGTGCGCTCCTGAAGCTGACTGTAGGCGGTGCGTTCCTGAGCTGACTGTCGGGCGGTGCGTTCTTGAGCTGTCGTTTGCTGAGCTGGCTGTAACGGGTGCGTGTCCTGAGCTGTCGTTCCTGAGCTGGCTGTCGGCGGTGCGTTCCTGAGCTGACTGTCGGCGGGGCGTTCCTGAGCTGACTGTCGGCGGCGCGTTCCTGGAGCTGTCGTTCCTGAGCTGGCTGTCGGCGGTGCGTTCCTGGAGCTGTCGTTCCTGAGCTGGCTGTCGGCGGTGCGTTCCTGAGCTGGTCAACCGCGAGAGACGAGAAACGGACCTTCGCATAGCAGGTCGGGAGCCTGCCGTGTTGAAACGATCCTCCTATCATCAGCATGCAACTAGTTTCGTAGCTCAGCCTACTCATGCAGCATGATTTGGAACCCTTGTAATCCCTCGCCCATTAATTGGTAGCCAGGAGTAACCTTTCGTGTCCATGTGACCTGCCTAAGCTACATGTTTATTACTGTCCAACCGTTACCGCTACAGAGCCGTTAAACACAAGGTGTGTATTGAATGATCCGACAAGACGATGCCAACACGTCGAATGGCTCACTGACCGCTCCAAAACGTCGCTTTCTTCCATAGCACGACAGACACGTTTAATCTGTGCGGTCTGTATTGCGTCCTCTTCCGTTCTGGGCTTCAGCACTCCCGCCAGCCCCAGCCGTCATCCGGGTCGGGTCGGTCACTGCCCGAGGCATTGCATGCGAACATCCAACGGACCGGCCGGCGTCGGCCGGCTACACCAGGCCGTCACGCCGCCGGTCTGGCCGCTGTCACAAATCTTTACGCGGGTTGGGCCTTTGCCACACAAACCGACAGGTGAATATGTACGCTAGTTTAATGACAGCGGTGGGCACGTGGAGTGTTTTGTTACCTGATGCAGGCACCACCTGCAGAACTTATCGTAAGTTGCTGTTATAGCATT